GGTGGGATTCAAACCTGGGCCACCCGCTTGGAGGACTACAGCCTCCACACATGGGGCGCTTCTACAACCACAGCGCCACCAGCGCCCCAACTCCAACAACTATAATCACCCTTAGGACTGTGTTTCCTCTTCCAGGTGGGTCTTCAGATTTTGCCTCTGGACGGGAACCCCTACAAGTCCAACGCTCTGATCTGCCACCCGACAGGGGCGTCTACTTTTACCTGCTCGTACGACGGCAGATTCATCTTCACCGCAGGACGATCCGACTGCACCGTTCTGGCATGGGAGATAAACCTGAAGTAAGGTTTGATGTCAACCACATTAATGCCAAAGGGAAGCAGACACTGGTGATAAATCATTTGTTTTGGTTTGTATTCAGTGCTCTGGAGGCAGCAGCTGCTTTGGGAGGAAAAGACCTGGAGCCCTATTACAGTCTTTTAGAGGGAGGCAGAGACGGCAAGTTCTTCAGGGTGAGAAAAAGGTTGACTTGATCCGATGACGCAGATGATTCCATTAACTCTAAATGAAAGCATCCATAGTGCCGTTAGGGTTTATAATCTGTATTTTATGTTATTTTACATGATGCATGATGATTGACAAAGATTTTTAAGGCTGATTTGGGTGTTTTATAGACAGGACAGTGGATTGAGGGAAATCAGGGAGAGAGAGTGAGTGGGCAATGACGTGAGGGAAGGAGCTCTCTTATCATATAGAGCAGTGATTCTCAAAGTGGGGTCCCAGGACCCTCAGGGGTCTGCGAACCAGAACTTGGGGGTCCGCGGAATAATTTACAAACAATTGTAAAAGTGTGCTATATCATTGAAAAAGCATATCTACAAACTTTTGTCCAATACTCCCGCACACTTGTTGAGCAGTTTTGTGCAATTAGATCAATTCTGATATGATCGTGACATGTCCGTCACTTCATCCATCACTAGTGCGCAACGATAAAAAAAAAAAAAAACTCAAAACAACAAACAGCTCGGAGCCAACATTTTCTCAAAGTTTATAAAATGAATTACTTGGAAAGTATAAATGTAGCCTAATTCTATCGTTGCAGAGTAATACATTATTACATAGTATTAAGATAGGCTTATCAACGTTGTGATAATGAGGGGGTCCTTGGAAAAATTTCTCACCTGAAAGGGGTCCGTGGTCAAAAAAGTTTGAGAACCCCTGATATAGAGGTCCACAAAAGATGTCAGATGTTTCTTGGAGTTAATCTGAAATGATTTCCGATATTATTTATTTTAACGAAAAGATTCTCAGTTTTCTGAACGTTTCTTTCTGTAGGAGATGGAGGAGTTTTTCTTCTTCTGCCAAATCCGTCACCAAAGCATCGACTCGATGGAGAAACGAAAGGTGTCAAACAAAATCCCGCTGTCAGAGGTGCCGTCTCTCATGAGAGCTTTGGGCTGTTTCCCTACTGAGCAGGAGGTACTTCATGTGTGAATGAAGCGACAGACAATATCATCTTTTTGAATAATATTTATATTTTTTATTTCACTTACACAAATTGCTTTTATGCATGATTTTTTTTTGACCAGATAGAAGATATGCAAAATGAGGTCAAGTTCAGCAAGTATGAAGAAACAGCCAAATATGTGACCGACATCGACCTGGAGGAGTTCATCAAGCTGTATGTCAACCACCGCCCCGCCTTTGGCATCAGTATCGATGAGCTAATTCAAGCTTTTCACGTCCTTGGCGACGACGATCATAAAAGAGCGCCCGCTCTGCAGAGGCATGAGCTGCTCGAAGTCCTGCAGGCTCGAGGTACGCTGCAGGTTATCCACCCAGGAAATGATCCCTCTGTTTGTTTTAGTCATATAACGGTTGGAGCCTTTTTATTTGTTGTTAGTGTTTGTGTATTTAGTTCAGTAATGATAAGTAGATCCAAGCTTGATCCAAAATTAACTTGACTTAGTTGAAGACATTTAAGATAATTTAGACTATTTATAACTAATTCATGTTCAATAACTTAATCATGTAAATACTGTAATCTATGCACACTGCTTAAAGTCTTTATATGAGATTTTTCACCTTAAATATAATATAAATCAAGTATATCCTCTGAAAATAACTCTGTGAGTCATGACTGTCTACAATGGGTGTAACACCCGAGTCCCACTGTCTGTGATGTTTTCAGAGTTTTCAGAGTCCTATCTTCACTTTGTTTACATCGCCAGGACGGCCGGCTGACTCCTCCCCTCGTGTATAAAAGTTGTTTAATTGAGGGACTAGAGAAAAGAAGAATAACATACTGTACTCACTGCTTAACTGTGTTTCTAGATCACGCTCATTTCAGGTAAATTTACATGCAGTGTGAAGATACCAGCATAATAAAGATCGCTAGCATTAGCATGCTAACACAACAATGCAGCGCGAGTTGTTTTGGTTTCATGCTGGTGCTCAAGGGCGACACCTGCTGGATCAAAAATCACATATAAAGCCTTTAATGTAAATACTGTAAAACTCTAGCACATGTATATTAACCATCTGTTACATAACTACATTTTTATTATCATTTGCACTATTGTCTTATTTAGTCGTGCACATGAGTCTGTGCTTTTTTAATGTTATACTTTTTGTACATAGAGAGCACAGTTCACCAAGGTCAAATTCCTTGTGTGTGTGTGTGTGTGTGTGTGTGTGTGTGTGTGTGTGTGTGTGTGTGTGTGTGTGTGTGTGTGTGTGAGCATACCTGGCCAATAAAGCTGGTTCTGAAGATCTTGTAGACGTTTCACCTCTCCTCCTCCTCCGAAAGGTTTCTTCAGTTTCTTTCAGATGAGAAGTGAAACGTTTTCAAGATCTTCAGCTAGGTCCAGTTGCTTTTGGATCAAGTTTTGATTAACCATGACCTTGATGACCAATCCTACACAGACAATAATAAGTGGAATTGTTTGATTATCCTGGAAGTTTCATTTGTTTTAACAAGATTTTGTGTTTGTTAGTTACTTGTTTAGTATAGTTGGTGTTTGCATTGGGTAACTGTAGGCACACTGAGGTTTTAGATGCAGGTTTCATGCACCACAGTGTGCAAACCTTTTTTTTTACCCACATAAGAGAGGCAGCAGGAGCCGGAATTTCTTTATTATTTTGTTTGCTTGCTTGTTTATTTTTGCCAAATAACTCAGTGACAATGGCAGTGGACTTCTTTAGCCTCACAGTGACTCAGTGGCCATTTGATTTTGTGATAATAAACATTGATCCTCTGTTGCAGTTGAAGAAATATCCTCCTAATTTTGATTATAATTTTGACAGGAGAACACATGACTGAGGAAGAGGTGGCAGAGTGTTTCACCACACTTTTGGGACTCAATGAAGATGACGAGGAGGAGGAGGAGGAGGAAAAAGAAGGAGGTAAAGGGGACTAATGTGAATATATGATGTACACAAATCCAGTAATTGCACATCACAGCTGAAAAACATAATGTTTTGTTGTGCTTGTGGTTGTGTTTGTGTTTGTGTGTCTAGGTGGGGAATATTCACTGCAGTGTGCGATCCCAGAGGTGATATCTATGGAGACGTTCACAGGTCACATCCTGGGTTTCCCGTCCTCTGCAGAGCGGAGAAGCACGTCTTCTCCTCCAAAGTGATGAATGTAAAATGTAGAATAAATGTTTGTAATGCTTTGTTGAAGAATATTAATCGAACAATCCCAATAGAAATAAAATGTGAGACTGAGAGAATGTGTGAAGCAGTGATTCCCAAAGTGGGGCATGTGGTCCCTGGGGGGGGACGCAGCAAGGCTACATCAAAAACAATGCACACTGTTTTGCACTGCCAGCAAATAATGGAACATTTTGTAAGAGGACTTCCAGGTCAACATAAGGCTGACAATGAATCTGCAGCAGACGTCACACCTTCTAAAACAAAAATGTGCTGAGTCATATTTCGTCCTCCGTTCACCTGTACAAGGACGGATAATGAAGAGAGCCACACTTTCTTCCTTTTGCATCATCATAACTGTGTTAGCACAACATACAGATCAAAGCTGGACATTGAGTGGCAGTCTCACAGATTTGAGAAGATGCGCACCACAAAACAAGCTCACACTAGTGACTGAAATGATTGCAGGACTGGAAATATAAACCTTAAAAGATTTATTTTTATTTTTAAGGGCTTGTCCATCTTCAGAGGGTCAAGTTTTAAAATCATCTGTTTTCAGCAATGACTGTTATTACATCTTAAAAATGTAAAAGTTGCATTTCCACTTTTAATTTCTTCCTCTTTAAATCTTTGGGATAAAGTATAAAAATACAGAAGTTTGTTAGCAAAGTGTGTGACTGACACCGTGTTACTATATAGCAATATGAGTTTATGTGTCGATGTGGATGGTGCGGGGTGTTGTTGAAAATATTTTCATCGGCCAAAGGGGAGGCCTGGCATTGAAGGTTTGTAGTACGATATAGTTAGTACACACCAGATAATCATCATCATCATCGACCTTTATTTAAGTTCTCGGAGAGATCATTGAGGGGAGAAAACATACATAAATGATAAACAGCGAGAAATGAGATAAAGCTACTGCAGAAAATAAAATCAAAAAAAGAGAAATAAGAACAATAAAATATATATAGACTAAAATAATTTAAAAGCTTGAAATTACTACAGTGATAAGTCAGTAATTAAAATCAATTAAAACAGTTACAGTCAGGTATTGGGCGGTTAAAAATAATATTTCTAAAGTGTCCATAAGGGATAAAAGTGCTCAAGTTCAGGTCCTGTTGTAAAATGTTCCAGGAGGTTGCAGCACTAACACTAAATAATACAGGAAGGAACAAGTAAAGCCATGAAAGAAAAAGAGATAAATAGAAAATAGATAATTCTGTATCAACTACTACTGTCTGGGGTGATAATCAGTGGAAAACATGGTAAATATCTCCAGGACAGATGTTTTGTACAAACTGCGGGCTGTGTTGACCTGCGCTTCAGGTTTATTTTTGAGTCTCTTGGTGGGCGGGGCTCTGACTCTGACCAATCAGAACGCTTCAACTAAACAACTTCCTGCTCGGGACTGAGGAGCCTGCGAGCCCCCTTTTGCTTTTCTTTTTTTGTCAGCTGGTCTCCTCGGCTCCAAACACGTCAAATACTCACCAAGACAAGTTAACTCAAGGCCGTTAACCACCGTCAGCGGGCTTTAAAAATGAGCGAACCGAGGAGCCGGACACAGCGGCTCCAAGTTGACCCACTTTAACAAAGAGTCCGCTTGTGTCGCTCCCTCTTGTGAGAAGCCTCATGAAAGGGAGAGTGTTTTTTATTGTCCTAGCTCGGTGGCTAACGTTAGCTATTTGTCTGGTGAGTTACCCGACATGGCAACCAGAGGGGAGATGTCTCTCCCGCAGAAGTATCGTCGTCCGCCGGCCTGCGTGAAGCAGGAGCAGGATGACGACTCGGACGCGGAGGAGACTCAGCTGGGTCTGCGGAGGTCCGACGGGCTGGAGTCTCAGATCATCCACAGCGGACACTTCATGATGTCGTCGCCCCACAGCGAGCACCCCCCGAAGAAAGGCTACGACTTCGACACTGTCAACAAACAGACCTGTCAGACCTACCACTTCGGCAAGGCGAGCATGTCGCACCTGTCCATCGACGCTTCTCTCACCAAGCTGTTCGAGTGCATGACTCTGGCGTACAGGTGAGTGACGACAACAACACACCTGACCACCCTGCGCCACCATGGGAGCAATGCTGTCAAGTGTTCCTCTTTCGTTTAATGTTCTGGACTTCAACTTTCTTACATTTGAGCGTTTGAATCGCAAGAATCAGAATTACATTGTCGGATTTCACATGCAAGAAATGTGTCATGGTGCAAAAAAACAACAAACACAAACAACAACAACAACAAATAAGATCACATATTGAGGATAGTTGAGCTGTGCAGTTGTGCAGCAATGTGCAAGATAATGAATGCAACAATCTCACAGTGTAAAATGTGAAGTTTAATGTTAACTATGGTTGTAGGACAGATTCTTAAACTTGGAAACGCTCCTGTTTAAAATCAAACCATATATCGATGCCTGTTTCAATACAATAGCAACAGAAATACAAGTCTTAGGCACCCAATATTGGTGCAATTTCTTTTTTTTAATCACCCAAAAATTGCAAGAAAACTCCTGCACACATTGTCTAATTTGCATAAATATGTTGCTTACATATCTGTGCAGTTTTGACACTTTCTCTCTTTCTCTTGCTGCAGCTTTGAGTTCAAATATAACTGAAGATCTGAGGTGTTTTTTTAAGCTTCTGTACTTCATGATACTTTTTATCTGAATCAGTTTTTATTGCCAAGTATTCACACATACAAGAAATTGAATTCGGTGCAAAAACAGTGAGCAAAGGACTAAAGCAAAAACAGAAAGAAGCTGTAAAACACTATAGCTATAAAAGACTCCTAAACATGTAAAAAAATATAATAGAATATAAAAACACAAACGGTGCAGCGGAGGAGCTGTGCAGTTATGCAGGTGTGTGCATGATTTACAGTGAAAATAACAAGAGTGCAGTGTAAACAGAAAATATTAAAGTCCATTGTGGGTTAATGTAACACATAAAATCTGTTTTTTGCCTTCATAGTACGATGATGGAGGCGGGGAGGGGGAGGGGGGGCTGCAGCAGAAGGGACTAAACATTATTATTGTATCATTTTAAAACATCATTTTTTGTATCAAAAAAAATGTTGACGACTGTTGTGTATAAACAGACAACACTAAAGTCCACTGTCCTCTGTAATAACAACATAAAAACAATAGATAGAGTTTTGCAAGACCTAAAAAAAAAAAAAAAAAAAGCATAACATAAACACTTTTTATAATGCTAAAGTCATGTCAGGCACGGGACTCCCTGGTCACGAGTATCCTCTTCATGTAACTTCCTGCTTGACCCGCCTGTGATTTGTCAGCTAAGTGCGGCGGTGACAGAAGCCCTCAGGCTCTTAATTATGTTCAAGTACCAGGACAAAGTTTGGCATTTAATCTTCCTAAATTTCCCCGTTGTGGGATAAATAAAGGATTATCTTATCTTATTCAAAACTCTGTCTGATATGATCCTAAAAAATGTAAATAATCAGCAGAGAACTGACATACTGTCCTTAATAAACTATCAGTGTTATTATAAGTCTCTGTCAGGTTGTTGCTGCTGATGCATCATGTGTTGGTGGCATTTTAGGGTACAGTTCGTTTCAACATATTTATACTTATACAGCATCGGCCAAATATGAAATAAGAAATATGCAGTAACAATCTCAATACTGGAATTATGATGTGAAGCAAAAACCAGGATCGTGAATGTTGATTAGTCTCGGTTTGTGAGCGGCCGCCTCAGGTGTTGAAAAATCCTGCAGGTCGTCGAGGGTCCGCTTGAGGCTGGCTGAAGCAGCCTTGGAAGTCACCCACACACACACACACACACTCACACCACATTCAAAAAGCCAGTTTTTACAGCGTAAATTAAAATGTTTACAGCCTCACTCAAAAAATCTGTTGAGCTCATGACAAAACACTGTTGTTTCTAATATTCAAACCAAAAGGAGGTTTTTCTAATATTAGATTTGTTTTTGTCTTCGATGAAACATTAAAAGGTGCGTCAGGTTAAAGGACAGGCCTTGTGTTATGTTACCCATGGTCCTCTCTGTTTACACATAGACTGTTACTGTTGTGTTGGTGCGCCGCCAGCTGCTCCGAGGATTCCCTTTCACTTTACAAACCGCACCAACTTAGATTCTTTGGCAAAGTCTATTTTTAGAGCAGGAAAAGCACCAACGAGCAGTCTCTGTTCTGCTGTTGTCATTCATCTGAAAAAGGAGAGCTGGTGTCTGGTTGTTTACACGGCTGGCTCTGTGAACTTTCCCCCTGCAACGCTGCCTCTCTCTTTACTAAAGCTGCTCTCCCACTTCATAAATCAACCTTTTTGTTTTTGCTTCTTCTGACAGGATTTTTTTTCACAAAGTAAGCACACAGTGTCAGCAGGAAAAGCCTGGAAAGGAAAGACAGGCTGTAAAACCGGACATAGAGAATGGAAAAAGGGAAACTATGACCCAACAAAGAGACATATTTATTTAAAACGGAAACCAGATTCAGTTTATCTCGATGGTCATTATCTCTGATGCAGGACTCAAGATGTTCTTGTCATTACTGTTAACAGTTAAACAATCATGCAAACTTCTTTTAAAAGATTTACTTTAATAATCCTGCGATGGGGAAATTCACTTTTACAGGATCCTGTGGACTTGCACTGATTGAAGGGAGGTCAGAGTGAGGGGGCTGCTCACAGCGAGCGTCCCTGATCTGGTGGGTGGGGGTCGGTGCCTTGCTCAAGGGTACATTGGCAGTGCTCAGGAAGCACCGGTTCGATTTCCAGATTTAGTCCGCACCAGGACCATAGGGTAGTCAGATATAAAGCTTAATATGAATGTTGTGCAATAAAGATTGATCACAGCTAAAGTTATACAACTCTGTATTAACGACGAGTTCACATACTGTAGTCAGCGCAGCACACAAGTAATCTATCTCCTCGTATTATTATTTGACTTTTCCATATCACACCGACCTTCATAGATTTCCCCCGACTCCGCCGTCTTTTGTTTTGCTCGCTCTTTCATTTGCAGTCCTGCCTTTTTTTATGCACAGTGACCTGTACTGAAACAGACTGAAACAAATGCTGATGCCTCTGTATGAGCCTCGAGAGCAAACCAGACCCATCAGCATACATATAGATTATTTCTTTCACTGTTTGTTTCAATCGTTTCAGTGCATGTAAACGCGGCGGCAGGGTGGGTGTCAGACGAGGAGATTAACAGCCTAAACACTTTTTTTCCACAGCAAAGATTTTCTATAAGTCCAGAAAACACTAATTACAAATTCAAAGGACAAGATCGGCAAAAAATAAGAGACTTACTGCTTTTGTCCACAGGGGGCGCCAAAATCAACATAAAATTGAAGGTTTCTCACAGGAGCTTAAAATCATTATTAAACTCAGGGCAGAGCTCTGTGAGTGTGTGTTGCTGCAGCAAAAGACAGAACATCATTTTCTTTAGTAAAAATCTGTTTATTTTACTGTTAACTATTTTTACTCGTATTGGAGGAACAAACACAGTGTGCAAAAGGAGCCACACTCAGGCCACTGTGTTAGCTCTTTGGTGTAGGGGTCTTTGTCATGTGTCCGTGTTAATATGAAAATCAGGTGATCATTTGGGCAGAGTCAGGGGACGGTAAAGGTCTTATTCTGTTAATAACAAAAAGGAGAGGACCCTGACCTTGATGTTTCAATGTTAGGATATCTCTGATCTACTTGTGTGTCATAGGTGTTACTTAAGGTGTCTGTAATCACCTGAGAGATTGACCTGATTTCACAGTTGTTTTCTTTCTCAGTGGTAAGCTGGTGTCTCCCAAATGGAAGAACTTCAAAGGTCTCAAACTGCTTTGGAGAGATAAGATCCGCCTCAACAACGCCATCTGGAGAGCCTGGTACATGCAGTGTAAGCGCTCCACGCCCTTCTACCACCTTGTGCACACAGATTGTTGACTGTATTGTTCTCTGTGTGACCTGGATTTAACACTTTTTTTTTTTAAACAAGCTGCAGCATGCACTATCATCAAAGAAGAAAAAACATCCACAGAAAAATGATTCCAGTGTGTGCTATAGTTCCAGATGTTCATTTATCATTTATCTGTACAAACAAGAAACTGAAGGTGACTTTGACTTGTTTTTTTTTTCCCTCCAGATGTGGCGAGAAGAGAAAATCCTGTCTGTCACTTTGTCACTCCTCTGGACGGGACCATGGACTTGGACATCAACCGTCCCGCCGAGGTAAAGATAAACCAACGTGATCATTGTGTCGGCCAAAGTGACCCTTTGTGACTTCATGCCAACGAACGATCCAGTGAATAATTCTTTGTTTAGTCTCTTGAATACGTTTCATGAAGTGGGACTTCCTTTCTTTGTGCTGTTTGTTTTGGTTAATTTGGTTTGATTTCCCCTCCCTCTCTTTCCTGATCAGGCGATTGCAGCAGAGGGGAAGTGTTGGAAAAGAAGAATTGAAATTGTCATAAGAGAATACCACAAGTGGAGGACATATTTTAAGAAAAGGGTAAAAGTGATTTCATGTATAAACTCTGTAACGTTGTGTTGAATGAATGAAATCTTTAAACGGCGCTCACTGAATCTTTCACAGTTAAACAAGCACAAGGACGATGACCTCTCCAGTTTACTAAAGGTATGTGAAAAGTGCATCATGACAAAGATTCACACAAAACACTGAATTCATCATCTGTTCAACGAGATGTTGATGCTTACATTTTTTAACCCTCGCTAACCCAGTCAGTGTTATGATATTTACAGCTCCAGAAAAATTAAGACACCACTCCAAATGTTCCCTTAGGCCCTGTTTCCACCTAGCTGGTTTTTTTCTTTCAGGGCAGAAAAGTGCTGGCTGGAGTGCTTTGATAAAGCGCTGTCTCTATGACAACAGTCACTTAAAAATGGCTGCCGTATGACTCAGTTGCTTTTTATAGCATGTTTTTATAATTGAGATTTATCCCCTTCACTATGAGCATCAATTTGAGGATGTTTGTCCTCCTACTTTCTCTGGACTTGAAGCGAGGAGGATGTGGGTACAGTGCACGATACACACATGGATAAATCAATAGAGGGACTATTGAATTTATTTATTTAATAGGGACAATGCAATTTAACATAATTTCAATACAAAGCATGAAACTGATGTGCTGCATAAAGAGTATATAGCTGTTGCTAATTTCAAACTCGTGTCCCCAGTTGGGCCTTTGTGTAAACAAACAGATTAAAATGTACAACATTCAGTTACATAAAACCCCATAACACCATATGAGGATACATTAAAATACATGTACAACAATACAAATGCTATAAACCAGTTTAGAATAAAGTAAAATTAAAAGTGGGTACAGCTCTGGCTTGCTTTGAGCATTTCACCTGTTTTGTAAAATATTTTAAGTCCGAGATTAATTTTTATTTCAGGTGGTAATGTGTTCCAGAGTTTGATGGAGAGATAGATATCTTACATTTTGAAAAAGAGCGCCCCTGATGTCATCAACAGCGGCTTTCTGAAAAATTTGAAGATTTCTACACAGAGCGGCGCGCTGCAAACGCTCCCTCTCCTCTTTGAAAACTATTTTTAAATAGACGCTGGTGCTCAGAGCTAGGTGGACACCAGACATTAATCAGGGTCTCTACATGAGTTGGAGTCATTCTTCTCCAAACTCTGTTGAAGTTTAACACAAACCTAATGTTCACCTAATGTGATGAAGAGAAGGGCGGATGGTCCCGAGCCGTCCAACGAAGTCGAGCTGCTTGAATTTTTGTGACAAAAGTAACAGCAGAGTTAAAGACTTCTGGAGAGTACTTAAGACACATGAAAGTTTTCAGAAAATTCAGCTTAATTCCACCAAATATGGATTTCCTAACTCGTCTTGAGTTAAAACATAAGTAGAACTTCTGTCAGTGTATTTCTCGCGGTCTGAGAAATAAATGCATCTTTTTTGTTATCTGAACCAGGTTTCATTTTCTTAAATGAAATGACCATTTTATTTGGAAGTTGGGGAAATATTTTTATAAAATAAACAAAACTTATAACTTTGCAGTGATCTCTTAATTTTCCTGAAGCTGTATTTATATTTATATATTTTTTTACAGGTCATCTGTAACTTTGCACACAGAGTACTTTTGACAGCTTGCATCTAACTTAGCTTGTAGCTTACTTAAACACACCAAATATATCCAATACTAATTCAGATTCAGAGTTTTTTATTGTCCCACAAGGGGAAATTTGCATTGCAACAGGAGCACACAGAAGACTAGAAACACAAGGACAACATCACCATAAAACATAAAACAAAACTAATTAAAAAAATCAGACAACACAGCAAAATATAAAACCAAATAAAATCAGTCAAGAGCCCGTAGCAGGATGGAAAGTCAAGTTATTAAAGTGCAAAGTGGAGGAGTGCAAATGTGCAAAAAGAGCAACAAATACTTAATTGTTGTTTAACATATTATTGCACTTGTTAAAAATGAGACCTGGAGTCTTTTTAAAGGAAGGTTATTAACTGTTGAGATAAGTGCATGAAGTGTGGTTAAAGATGTAGTTCCTCTTCTGATGGCTGTGCTTATCACTGCATGTGTGTGTATGTGTGTGTGTGTATGTATGTGTGTGTGTGTGTGTGTGTGTGTGTGTGTGTTATTAACCTGCTCGATGGTTGCATTTTGAACAAAGGGACCAGAGGAGCAGTTGTCGCTGTTTGGGGAAGTCTCTCCAGACATGCTCCGTGTCTCCTTTTATCAGGATGAAGACCTGGCCGCACGTCGCCTCCCTCGCAATCGCAACGAAACGCCCGCCCCCATGGAGATGGACCCCCTCTTCGACATGGACGTGTTGATGTCCGAGTTCTCGGACACGTTGTTCTCCACGCTGGCGTCGCACCAGCCCATAGCCTGGCCCAATCCGAGGGAGATAGGTGAGAAAATGTGTCTGTTGTCAGTCTTTGTTAAATCAGTGAATAGAATAGAATTACTTAATTGATCCCAAACTGGGAAATTGTGTCGTTACAGCAGCAGGTTGTCCAAACACACAATATGAGCAAAAAACACAATATAATATTAAATACAAAGTTTTGATATTTTTAGTGCTTATTTACTGAGAATGAGAATATATACAACCAGGATTTAACTTAGCATTACTCGTCTTAAATATGAAAGATTAAGTGTAAATGTGCAAAAACAGAGTTTTAAATGGACAGTATTGACATAAGTGCGTGAGTGTAGACATATTATCAGCAGAAACTGTTCAATATAATTTGTAAATGTAACATGTGCAGAACAGATTACAGTAAGGAGAGACAGATATTATCTGATTATTATGATGAAGTCATCCTAATCAGACTCTTAGTATCTTCAACATTCAACAATTTGATTAAAAGGTTATTAATGGTTTTAGAAAGAGGCATTTTCCCTCTAATCAGAGTACTGACAAGTAAAAATACAATATTCTGAATATGACCGCTCCTTCATCCTCTACAGCTCATGCAGGGAATGCAGACATGATCCAACCAGGACTCATCCCCTTACAACCCAACCTCGACTTCATGGACTCCTTCGATCCGCTTCAAGGTATCAGCACCAGCAGCAGCAGTAGATCATCTCACATGCTTATAGAGCACACTTTACTGTAATCAAAGCACACATGTTCTGGTAACTCTGCCGCAGCCTAACACAGAAAGTAGTGTTTTTTTTTTACTAACCTCGAGCTAACATAGAGACTCTTGTTCCAGACTTATTTCACAGCCTCCGTCAGCCCATCTTCCCCTTTGTTTCCCCCACTGCCTCATCTGTCACCCCTCTACCCAGCAGCAGCTCTCAGACTCAGGTAAACACCACGCCGAGTCCCTAATACACACACACACCTTCATGTACGTTCTGTTGTTTGCCGTTTGATTGAAGACTTTATGTTTGTATTTGATTTCTGCAAGATCTTTTACCATCAGTCTGCCTTCATTTAGCTACACGAAAATCATAATATTACTAAACTTAATCTCACAGCGCCTTCCATACTCGACTTCTGCTGCTCAAACTGCTTCACTTTTAATTTATGTTCTTTAAGGAGTCAAAGACAAATCAAAACTGTGGTAAATCATTGACTCGTGTTGAAGCTGCTCTCATCATTGAAGCGTTATCAGAAGTTGTTGTTTCTGTTTTGGTTTGTGTTTTTTTTAACCACAGTCGGTAAAAGTTAGTAAATATCGGTACAGCATCGTATCGTCATGCTCTCTCATGTGATGACATCATCCTATCGCTGGTCCCAAATATTGATATTTAGATTTCCTTTAAATGCGTCACTACTTCATGACGCCTCACAGTAATGCTTATGACATGAATGAGGATAACGTTACAGAAGTTGAATGGCCAAAAACAAAAGTTGGCAGCAGGATAAAAGAAGAAGAAGAAGACTGCTTGGTACGCTGGACAGATTTTAAACGAACTTAAAGGTTAAAGCAGAAGATGAGCTGACATCATATTGCAGTGAATGAATCCATTCATCCTGCCCTTTACCTTAGAGGCATTTTAGGCCCGTGTCCACTTCAGCAAATGTGCTGTACGTCCGTCCTGTCTCTATGACAACGGCCTCTGTGTGACCGACACTGCTCTGTCAGTTTTTACTGAATACTTTTATTTTAGATCGTTTATTTCCCGATCAGTTATGGAGCAAAGACAATGTGGGTACAAGAAATCATCTGTAGGACGCAGAAATACAATTCCACACATATACCACACATGGAGCGCACATAGGCAACGTGTTTACAACTACAGCTGTGGACACTCTGCAGGGCTGAAAGAGTGCAGAAACTTAAGAGCTCTTTAAAGTCTTTCTATGTGATTTTTCACACTTATATGTAGAAATCAAGTATATCCTCTGAAAATAACTCTGTGAGTCATGACTGTCTACAATGGGTGTAACACCCGAGTCCCACTGTCTGTGATGTTTTCAGAGTTTTCAGAGTCCTATCTTCACTTTGTTTACATCGCCTGGACAGAGGCTGACTCCTCCCCTCGTGTATAAAAGTTGTTTAATTGAGGGACTAGAGAAAAGAAGAATAACATACTGTACTCACTGCTTAACTGTGTTTCTAGATCACGCTCATTTCAGGTAAATTTACATGCAGTGTGAAGATACGAGCATAATAAAGATCACTAGCATTAGCATGCTAACACAACAATGCAGCGCGAGTTGTTTTGGTTTCATGCTGGAGCTCAAGGGCGACATCTGCTGGATCAAAAAATCACATATAAAGCCTTTAAGTCCACATGTTTGTAAAAAAATAAAAATATTTAGATGATGCATTTATCATTGTGTGAAGACGTACCCGATGAAGACTAAATGAGATTTTAAAAGACGAAAAAGAGGACACACAAGACTAGATCATAATTCTTAAGTAGTACAGAAAACACAAAAAGATCTCAATGCAGGAAAATAAATGTTTGGTACTAATTTTCGGGGGCGGAGCTTCCTTTTTTTGTCTTTGGCTCATCACATCTCTGATTGAGCAGCAACAACATCTTAACAGGTGATAGAAAAAATAAAACAAAGCAGGAAGAAATAAAAAAAACATGAGTGTAAAAACATTGAGGTTATAAAAGAGCAGCAGAGAAGTGAGAGTGAGGAGAACTAAACGTCTGATGACCTGATAATAAAAAGATCTTCACAGGTAAACAAGCTCATAATTCTGATTTTTGACGATGTCATTGCAGGCAAATAAAAAAAGCACATAAAAAGTTCAGCGTGTACTAACGTGTTATTGTCGTAATCTAAACCAGCATTAATGTGAGTTTGTCTGAATCATCATTATTGCTTTTAAAGACAGGTCTGAGTGTGTTCCCTTTTCCTTTTGTCATCCCTTCCTAGGCCCAGCTAATCTCCATGCAGATCCCAACCAACCACATCTCCCCTCCCGACCCCCTGCCCATCCCCTCTCCCATGGCCGGTCAAACCAGCCAAACAGGAGGTAGTGATGCTGCCTTTGTACAGAACTTCATGCCTCTGTTTCCCGAGCAGGTGGCACCCAGTGAAACTGCAGTTTCCTCTCAGCCGCTGTCCCATGATCCTCTGGCACAGTGCCTCTCGGGTCAGGACATGGCCTCAGCATCACCCATGGTCCCCTCCCCCTTGGACAGCACCTCAGTGACTGTAGTCCCGCCTGTGAAAGCCTCCTCCGCTGTCACACCCAACAACGCAGCCACCACCTTCAGCTCCGAGTACAGCTCCATATCCACTCAAGCTCCGCCTCCTCCTCCTTCTCAGCTCCAGCCCTTGGCTCCTTTAAATGCTACTCCTGTGCAGCACCCTCAGACTTTTGCCCTGCCGCGCCCTTTCATTCATCCAGTGCCAACAAGTGCCGGCCTGTGCAAAGGATCGCTCCTGCTAACACACTCCCCGCCTCCCACCTCATCCTCACAGGTCTGTAGTTCCTCTTCTTAGGAGCAAGAGGATGATTGATTTTACTATTGATGCTGTTCTACCACAAGATAGCACCCAAGCCTTTCCTTATCAGTATAGATTTGTAGGGATTGCTTGTTATCATATCTTAATGACTGTAGCTCCATCCCCCGATAATGTCCTTTGAGAAAATATATGGGGCCCTGGTTTTTAATATGAGGAAAACAAATTGCATGTTTTTATATTTATATCAATAAAATCATTGAATATAAGAGTTAGAAGCATATTTGCACAAATCAGACATAACATCATGACCATCTGCCTCGTACTGTGTGCTCCCGACTCATTTCCTTGGAGGACTTGCTTTTGGTTACCTGTTACCTGTTACATTGTCAGTAAGAGCAAACGATCAGCTTTGAGTCTGATTGGACACACAGGTGCTGACAGGAAGTGACCAGAGGCAAAGCACAACATTGAGGGCAGTTCTTGAGAGCTCTAATCAGTATAGAAACCATCTTATAAGTCGTCGTTATCAAACAAAAACCATCATCATTACCATCATCATCATCATCATCATCAATAATATGGAGACCATCATCATTAAGTTAGTAGGTGTTCATGAAAGAGCTGGGTCTTTAGCTTTTTCTTAAAGGTGCAGAGGGACTCTGCAGATCACATGGAGTTTGGAAGTTCATTCCACCACCGGGGGGCGACAGAGGAGAAGAGTCTAGTCAGAGACTTAGGACCCTGTTGTGAAGGTTGGATCAGACGCCTTTCATTGGCAGAGCGTAGAGGGGGGAGGGAGTGTAGACCTGGATCAGAGAGTTAAAGTAAGGAGGAGACGCTTTTGTCGCTGTTTCGTAAGCGAGCAGCAGAGTTTTAAATTTGACAAACAATTTAACATGAAATGACTGGATGTGAAATCATTCATTATTGTGCATTAACTCTGTTTTAAAAACAATCAGGAGTGAAGTGAACACTACAGATGTTTCTTGCATTAATGGAAAAGTCACAGAGAAATAACGCAGGCTGGATTCATACATTCATACATTTCTCTTTCTTACTGTCTCTGATTTGCTCTCTCAGCCCCTTTCACAGGTCACGCCAATGCTGTGATTGTAACACCGACGCCTCTGAAAGCAGAAGGTGTGCAGAACACAGGCGTGGTCATCACTCCTTCTCATCTTGCAGGGGTAAATATTCAGCTCTCTCCGTGTTTCATTTACATCTCAGGGTTGATGTTATATTAGCTGGTCAATAAATGTAAAAGTTTACTTTGCAACTTTCAGTGCAGATTTTCATCAAAACAAAACAAATGAATCTGATCAAAACAAATGCTCTCTTCCAAGCTCCCCCTCCCCTCCCGTCTTCACCCTACCCCCTTTTTCTGGTTGGCGTTTTTTGTGTTGGATTTTGAAAATTTCAAAAAATCAGAGAATCGAAAAAGACCTTTCATCACAAGAAGTACACTGATTTACAAAAGTCAGAGATGCCCATAAACATCTGAAAAAAGATTCATTAAACCATTCAAGTAAAGATATGCATCTCAAAGTTGTTTTGGTCGTTTTTAGGCCGTAGAAAGTTTTCTCTTCAGGTTTGGAAAGTCTGATGGTTCTCCTTACGATGACACTCTGTTTTAATGCCTTTAATGTGGGCGGGACCGTCTCCCTCCCCCCACCTGGTGGCAGTGGTTGTGGTTGGACAAGGAGGAGTTCACTCAAGAAAAAAAACATTATGTCTATGTTTATGTTTCTGAGTGAAACATAAACAAGCTGGAGGAAGCGCCGTCCCGTCCTCATGAACACATCCAGAGGGAGTTTGACTTCACTCTCCTTTTAGGAAGTCTCCACAATATATTTACAGTACATAGGGCATATTTGATTTGTTTTGTTGCTATATTTATATTCAGAAAGCCGCATATTACACCTGAAGTCTTAATTTCATTTAAATATACGACACACAACAGAAGGAACTTTTATCTGGTAAAAAACTTGTTGAGGGTTTATAGCGACAAGATGTTTTTTAATATACTTTATTTAAAATTTTTGTTTTACAAGAAACACAGAACAAGTGAGGACTATGGCAAGACAGTATGAATAAGATTAAATACAAGAATGTAAAAGGCACAGGTACAGTACATAATGGATGGTACATTCTAATGAAAAAATAAATATTTAGGAGATTATATTTAGTAATCGCTTTTTTACTTGCCACCATGAGAATCTTTAAAAGGTATATGTCCTTTTTACCAAGACCTTCAGGAAATTTTCCGAGGTAGAAGGACGTGAAAGAGAAATCCAATGTGATGTTCAGAGTCTCTGCGATTAATAGTTTCACATCTTTCCAGAAGGGCTCAAGACGTGGACAGCCTCAGCGACAAGATTGGCTGTTTTTATGGAGTTATTTTTAATGCCTGAAACTCCTGCTAACATTTCTCACAGCTTATATTCCCAGTGAGTGATACTTTGAACCACTAAAAGTCGGCAGCTTATTTTGTTTCAGGTAATAAAACATGTATAAGACAAGATCAGCAAAGACTGAAGAGGTACCGCTTTGCAGAGTGCTTCTCACGAGAGCTGCAACTTTTCTTAAAACCTGTCCAGTAAAAAAAAAAAAAAAAGTCCTGGTCCTGTTGCTCTCTTTTTTTTTAAACTTTATTTTTCTCATTTCATGTATCTCAGGCTCCTGGATTTCACGTCGTGTCCCAGCAGTCCCCCCAGACGATTGTGCACAAAGAAAAGTCTTATCCTGCCAGCCGCAAAAATCAAAAAGCCTCGTCCAGTGTCGGTGAGAAATCAGGATTTACAAAAGCAACTTGAGAGTTTAAAAACTTCACATTACAAGATGTTTTTTTAATTTTTTTCTTCTTTTTCTCCAGTGCACAGACAGCCAGGATCAGGTCAAGGGTCACCTTGCAGGTTAGACCAAGTCCCCAGTCCCCAGGCTCCGATCAGCAGCTGCAGTACAGCGCTGGTAAAGAATGAACACAATCAGGTTTGTCTGCTTTCTTAAATCGTTTCCCATCATTAGCTCATGATTGTTATTTGGATGTAATCAGTAGAATTTCCTCGCCTCCTTTGTTATAAATGATAATGCACTCCTCGCATATTTCCCGTGTCATATTCTTCCTGCTCTTTGTGTGACAGGGTCGGAGGACGACACACATATCTGCTGAACAAAAGAGACGATCAAACATAAACATTGGCTTCAAAACGCTCTGCAACCTGGTGCCCACTCTGAAGTCTCAATCAAATGTAGGTGCCTGCATGTTTGTGCAGAGTGTTTGCTTCGCATGTTGCGCAATATTTAATTTATTTGCCCCCTCTTCCCTTCCTTTCCTTTCCTGCCCTCTTAGATCACTAATGCAATCACGTTGCAGAAGACAGTGGAGCACATCGGGAAGCTGCAGCAGGAGAGGCAGCAGTTACAGGAGGAGGTCAGGAGACTACGAGAGGAGATAGAGGAACTCAACACCTCCATAAAGTATGCAGAGACATCATGTACTGTATCTCCCTTTTAGTGATATACAAAGTTAGACTGATTCTTAATAGCTGCTTCTCTCAATGCTCATCCACAGCTTGAGTCAGGAGCAGCTTCCTGCAACCGGTGTGCCAATCAGGCGGCAGCGAATCGACCACATGCAGGAGAAGTTCAATGAATACGTGAAAAACCGAACTCTGCAGAACTGCAACTTCTGGATTGTATCCTTCATTCAGAGAGGGTTCATTGACCCACACAGATTACAGCTCATTCATAACACAGGGGTAGCGAGAGCATGTTGCTCCATCTGGTATGATCGTCTTCAGACCAGACTGATAGATGACAGAGAGATTATATCCTGTGACGTTCACTGTACAGGTAGAGTTCACTTTCTGCTGTCCTTCAGGTTTTAAACTGTATCTTTGTTTGCAGCATGTTCCCCCTGAATCCAAAATACTTCACACAAGCACTAAATTAACACCAATTAATCTGATTTATATGTGATTTTTTTTCATCAGCAGATGTCGCCCTTGAGCACCAGCATGAAACCAAAACCACTTGCAGTGCATTGTTGTGTTAGCATGCTAATGCTAGCGATCTTTATCATGCTGGTATCTTCACACTGCATGTAAATTTACCTGAAATGAGCGTGATCTAGAAACACAGTTAAGCAGTGAGTACAGTATGTTATTCTTCTTTTCTCTAGTCCCTCAATTAAACAACTTTTATACACGAGGGGGAGGAGTCAGCCGGCCGTCCTGGCGATGTAAACAAAGTGAAGATAGGACTCTGAAAACATCACAGACAGTGGGACTCGGGTGTTACACCCATTGTAGATTGTCATGACTCACAGAGTTATTTTCAGAGGACATACTTGATTCATATTATATATATGTTTTTAAATGACATATAAAGCCTTTAAAGTGGTCTCAGCTCATTATTCTCAGGCCTTCGTCACACTGGGAAACATTTCCTCTACAGTGCTTATTCATTTAAATAATATTTCTTATGTTTTGCAGTAAATTCAGACTTTTGTGTGTGTTTATTGCAAATGCTTATAGTGCACTAATGAGGAAATTGCAATTTATTAATAGTGCTTCATTCAATTGTGCAGCCCTTTTCTAAATCTATCATCATTGAACAGTGGCCCCTGCTTCAGATTTAAATGTATTTCTAAACCATGAAGTCAAATCAATCCCGAAGTCAAACCTTAAAGGGGACATATTCTGAAAAATCCACTTGTACAGTGTATTTGAACATGTATTGGGTAACCTGAGTGTCTACTGACCCACAAAATGTGAAATAAATCCATCCAGTTCTTTGTTTGTGGTCTGCATAAGTTTAACAACACAGAGAAAAATGCTCTGTTTCAAATGTGCTCTCCTTGTGATGTCACAGTGAGATTCTGGTTAGAAAAAATCCCCTCCCCTCCACTGGTATCTCCACCCATGGACTCCACCCCAGCCTAGAACAAAACTTTTGCACAGGTCGGCCATTTTTATTCTCTCTACAGAGGAGTGATGTCTACGGGGAAAACTCAGGTGGGGGCTCATTGCATTTAAAGAGACATACGCACCAAAACGGAGCGTTCTGAGAGAGCTGGTTTATACAGGGTCACAAACCTCCTCTGGTGCTTGGTTATATTTTGACCAAAGCACAGCACAGATGTTTCATTTAGACCACAGGGGGACTGTTTGGAAAGGTGGAGGAGGGGGATAATATGTCCTCTTGAAGCAACATGAAAAGTTCTTTAATTCATTTTTAACCTTTTATTGAAATCTCAAAGAGTCATTGAGGGCATGCTCTCATTTTCCATGATGTTGAGACTACAACGAAACAGAATAAATACGCAAGAAAGATGAATACAGAGAGCCGTGACAACACAACTTAAAACAGTTCAGTCAGGCAAATCACGTTTGTGTCGTTGAAAATATTGATGCAGCAGAACATAGTTTGTGTTTGGCCTCTCTGCTCCGTCCTCATCACATTTGAGGAGTGGTGGGATGGTGGGAGAGAGAGGAGAGAGAGGGGGGGAGAGGGGGGGGAGAGAGAGAGAGAGAGGGGAGAGAGAAAGAGGGGGAGAGAGAGAGAGAAAGGAGAGAGAGAGGGGAGAGAGAAAGAGGAGAGAGAGAGAGAGGGGGAGAGAGAGAGAGAGAAAGGAGAGAGGGGGGAGAGTATAGAGAGAGAGGGGGGAGAGAGAGAGAGAAAGGAGAGAGGGGAGAGGTATAGAGAGAGAGAGGGGGGAGAGAGAAACGAGAGAGGGGGAGAGGTTTAGAGAGAGAGAGAAAGGGGGAGAGAGGGACAGAGAGGAGAGAGAGGGGAGAGAGGGGGGGGAGAGAGAGAAAAGAGAGGGGGGAGAGAGAGGGGGAGAGGTATAGAGAGAGAGAGAGAGAGGGGGAGAGAGAAACGAGAGAGGGGGGAGAGAGAGACAGAGAGAAAGGGGGGAGAGAGAGAGAGAGAGACAGAGAAAGGGGGGAGAGAGAGAGAGAGAAAGGAGAGAGAGGGGGAGAGAGAGAAAGGAGAGAGAGAGAGAGGGAAGAGAGAGAGGGGAGAGGTATAGAGAGAGAAAGGAGAGAGAGGGGAGAGAGGTAGAGAGAGAGAGAGAGGGGGAGAGAGGAGGGGGAGAGAGGTAGAGAGAGAGAGAGAGAGAGGGGAGAGAGGTATAGAGAGAGAGAGAGAGGGGGAGAGAGGTATAGAGAGAGAGAGAGAGAGGGGGGGAGAGAGGTATAGAGAGAGAGAGAGAGGGGAGAGAGAGAGAGAGGGAGAGAGGTATAGAGAGAGAAAGGAGAGAGAGGGAGAGAGGAGAGAGAGAGAGGGGAGAGAGAGAGAGAGAGAGAGAGAGAGGTATAGAGGGGAGAGAGAGAGAGAGAGAGAGGGGGAGAGAGAGGGAGAGAGAGAGAGGGGGAGAGAGAGAGAGAGAGAGGTATAGAGAGAGAGAGAGAGGGGGGGGAGAGAGAGGGGAGAGAGGTATAGAGGGGAGAGAGAGAGAGAGAGAGGGGGGGGAGAGAGTGTTGAGCCTGTGAGACTTTGAGCATCATCCAGTTTTCAGAAGGTGTTGAGAGTTGACTTTGAGACTGTGTTGATAAAGACGCTCAGCAAAAAACATTTCCTGTCATGTTACAGTGAGAGCTGCCAGTTCTATCACCATTCTTTTTGACCAGTTGTTCACCATCAGGTTATTTTTTGCACGTCGTCCGAGGTCAAACAAAAAGATGTTTAGAGTCTGGTCTCAAACGATGAATCGGGTAGAAAAGCACACGTCTCTCACTGTGTCCTGTGATGATCCTTGACTTTGATCCATTCTAGTTCAGCATCATCATCAAGCCGCTCTTCGACTCATTCAACGGGATGGTGTCGACTGCGACCCGAGCGGAGCTGTGTCAGACGACGCTGCAGTGGCTCGACCGTCACTGCTCTCTTCCGGTGCTGAGACCCAGTAAGTCAAACAATCTGATACCTGTCGGCTTTGAGCCTTCAACCGGACCTCAGGTGTGATGGTTAATTCTCTGACAGCGTGCAGCGTGCTCCAGTCAGTTTCTGTCCACCTCAAGTGACCCAGATTGTTATGAGGAATTAAAAAGGAGCACATCTTGAAATGTCCACCAACTTGGGGATACTGGGTTCAATTCCCAGGAATAAAAAAAGCTCCTCACTAACAATTCAGAATATGGGACATGAGAAAAGATGCAGGGGAAGGAGAGAGGGGGGAGAGAGAGAGAGGGAGAGAGAGAGAGAGAGAGAGAGAGAGAGAGGGGGGAGAGAGAGAGAGAGAGGGGCGAATCAAAGGCACAGTGAGCAGTAGCATGAAGACAGAAGATAAGGAGTTGCAAGATATGATATATATGATAAAAAATATCAAATGAAATACAAAATAGAAAAGAGATAAAAGTGGAGATCAGGTGTCAACAGAACTATATGCAGCAGACGGATACTGAGTGGGTGAAGTGATTATGGTGCAACGGAACAAAAACACACAGGAAATGAAATCTATGCAGAGCTACATGTGATTAGTATTTAAAGTTTTATCTGTCACCATCACTGCTTGTTATTTCCTGCCGTTACTCCTGATATTAAGCAACCATGATGACACATCAGGAAGTGTAAGAGATCATGACCTGAAGTGTGACTCGCAACAGCCTGAGCTCGTGGAAAAGAGCAATCGATTATTACACCTTCCTTTTTACCTCCCACTTAGAGAGAGTAAAACCTTCACTTCCTGACTCAGTCTGACTTTGATCTCCACACTCACAGTGGATCTGACGACAAGATTTGACGTCAAAAAGATAACTGTTGCTTCAGTTGGAGGTGAGCTGAGCTTCAGGGTGCTGGACCTGAGCTGCTGCCGGAAACAAAAAAGAAATGTTAATTCAGCCGCTTTTTATTTTTGTTCCATTGGAGCTTTACCCTCAAATTGACTGATTGACTGAATGATTAAAACATTTTAATGTTCTGCAATCATGGAAAAGGTCTCTGAGTCATTGTTCTCAGCCCGTCATTCAGGGCTCTTCAGAATCCTGAAGAACTTTGATGCAGTCATGAAAAAGTCCTAGTAGATCAAAAATAAAAAAATTCCCTGATGTCATTTAAAACATTAAAGAGGAGATATTATGATGTATCATATTTGAGTCATGCAGGTTCTCCCCCTTGGCGGGCTTCCAGAGAGCTGGGCAATGAGGAAAGTTGGCTTGTAGGGAGGGGGAGGGGCTTAAAGTGTCAGACAGTGGCTGAGCTGAGAGTTTTTCACAGATACCGGAATGAATTAATAAGGAGTTTTTTTTTTTTTTAGCTGTATATCTCGCAAAGCCCCTACAGAGGTTTCACTGAGTGAAAATTGAAAACTTCAAATAAGCATTGTACGGGGGGCAGGATGGCCTAGCGGTTTCATTACGCACCCCATGTACACGGAGGCTGTACACGGAGGCTGTACACGGAGGCTGTACACGGAGGCTGTAGTCCTCGTCGCAGCAGCCGTGGATTAGACTTCCGACTTCGACCCTTTGCTGCATGTCTAGAGGCGCTGCTTTTCCCGAAACACATTCCAGAAATACATTGAACTAGGGCCCGACCAATATGGGATTTTTGGGGCCGATATTTGGGAGGGGGAAAAAAATCATATACCGATATATCGGTCGATATCTTTCTTAGATCTATCTGTAGAGATGGATAGATTTAGATATACACATTTATTGTGTTGATCCCTCAAATGCACTTAAAAAAAAAAAGATATATAATGAAGACAAGATGTTCACTCAACTGGAAAGTAACTGAGAGTGATGATGATTGTTGTAATCCATATAGCGCCCTCTGCTGGTGACAGCCTGAAAGAGAACTGCTGGTGTAAATACAACGATACAAATGAAATACGATTTGACTGGTGAATAAGTCTAGTTATAGCGTTGCATATCTGCGATTAAATTAACCGATAGTCACTGGATATGCTGATATCGGCCTCGGTCAGGCGATACACTGAACCCCTGCACAGTCTGCACAGCGCCTACTAAAAGCTGAGCAGTAGAACCACGCGTTAACTTTTAAAGAGTCAAAGGTCAGTCAGGTTTAAATGTGTGATTTTTTTTTTTTTTTTCCAGTGGTGCTGAGTACCCTCCGCCAGCTGAGCACATCAACATCCATCCTCAGCGATCCGTCCCTGCTGCCTAAAGAAGCCATCCAAGCTGTCACACACCCGGATGTGTAGCTCCCCCCCCCCCCCTCAGAGGAAGAGGACAACATATTACTACCTTACCTTCTGTTCACTCAGAAGGGTTACCACGTCTTCCACAGATCCACCTCTTCCCACCTTAATCTATACAAAAATGCGAGTGAGCCCTGGCGCACTTTGACTCTGCGTGGGGAAGCCGGGTATACGTTTTGATTTGTTTGGTGACTCGTAGAAATGATGCACGTAGGAAGCCTCTTATCTGACATCAAGAACAACTTGGCTTTTTTATCATTTTACATGAATGACGGCAAGTGCTACCGCCTTCACATACTGTCCGGGAAGATCTTCTGAATATGTCATCGGACGGTTGAGCCTGTGGTGTGCTTTTCTTTGAACAAAAATATATCTTTGATTTTACTTTCACAATGTAAGAACAACTTTGTGTCAAAAGGGAAATATTGAGTGCTTGTTCATTTAGTTTTCTCTCTGATGTATGAAGTGTAAGAAGCTTTTTTTTTCACAAGGAAAATTACATGAATGTTGGATTTCTTTCAGAACTATAGCTGACAGTATAGTTTTTTAAATTTAAATTTTAATGTAACTTCCCAGAAAGGTTTCATATCATAAAGTAGCGGGTCGCCTGAAAGATGAGTAAGTACTTAAAAGAGAAGTGAGAATCCGTCCCTCATTTACTCAGGTGAATGTTATTTAGCCAGTTAGCCTTTAGCGACCTTTATGCTACGCTCGCTCGGCCCCTGTTCACACATGCACTCCTGCAAATTTCTAGAAAAATGTCATCTTCCCCTAGTGGCTCCTTCAAACATTACGCCTCAGTGGGAGATTTTCCCTGTGGAGCGAGGGTGGTCTCAGGAGGCTGCAGAAGTCATAATGTAATGTTTACAAAGACGGCAAACAAACAAACGCACAAACTGGTGAGCAGAAGGTGGAGCATGAAGCCGCCTCGTTAAATGTTTAAGAGCAGAATGAAAGGATCTCGTCTCCGGCTAACTCGCTCGACAGACAGTATGTCTTGCTGCGTTCACACTTCAGCTCACCCTGACTTCTTGTTTTTATTTTGACTGAGAGGCAGGCAGGCAGCAGAAAGTCTGCATGAAGTCAGGGTGAAAATGTGTCTTGTTTGCGTTCACACATGCCCCTCATCCTAAAAACTGTCAGTTTTGTGCACATACACATACTTTGGTTTCTACTGGACAGGTCTTATCAAACTTGAATGTTACTTTCAGCCCTCTTAGGGAGCAGAACTGAAAGTTCATTGTCGTATAAATAATAATGATACAACTTTACATTTACATGTACAGTGTTACGAGGTCGGAGCTGAATGCACAGCAGCTGTAGGGGTCTTTAAGGGTCTTTGTCGAGCACTCAGGGCTGCGCTGATCAGCGTAATCATTCTCCTTATTAGCAAATGGAGTGAGGATTATTCTCAGCTTCTCGTCTTCTGTGAGGGTACGGCTTACACCACATGCTTTTTTTTTTTCTCTTACACTAATTTATAAAGTTTGGCAAAGACAGAAAAGAGGCTTCGGTCTACCTTTGTTAGAAGACACGAGACATAGAAGCAGAACAAAAAGCCATATGAGAGGAGCAGCCGTCCATTCAGTTTCTCACTCTGCTGACTGCTTGAGAATCCGCCTCCTCAGAAGTAGTCGGCAGTGTTAACAATCATCCGCCTTCTAGTGACATAAAGTGTCCTTACTTGTGAACTCTGCAGGGTGATCACTCTTTCTGTTTAAGTTTTTTTGTTTTTAATGATTATTTGTGGTTCAGCACTCCTCAGGCAGACAAAGATTTGGTTAACTGGTGTTTGAACTTTCTTTTTTTTTTCTGCAGAACTACTGAGTTTACTCCCCAAGTTTTACGGTAGCAAAATGCACCTCCCACAGTTCCTGTTTGATGAATGTGCAGCTTTTTCTTGTGTGTGAGGTTTTTTTTTTTTCTAAAGTGGATCGCAGATGTCTTTGTAATAGAAAATTTTACCTTTTTTTTTTTTTTTTTTTTTTTTTTACATTTTAGAAATGTTGTCCATGTTGATATAGAGGCTGCACACTTTGCATTGATATTTTAAAGTGTACAAAAGTGACACTAATTTTAAAAAATAGTGTATTTTTAAGTCGGCTGTGTTAAGAAGCTCATGTTATCCAATGATTTATTGAAACTACGATAACGAAAAAGGACTTCTGAATGCAGCTATTAGTGTTATGACTGTTAAGTTTTCCTTAATATCTTCTGTCTGACACATATGGGTCAGACATGATCAAAACATGAGTTAACAAAACGACAGAATTCCCCATAGTGCCCCCCTGCCCCCTCAGATCTGCGTTTGCGTCATGATGTTAATGTTTTTGTTTTTCTCTCATCATTTATTTAAAAGTCACACCTGGTTGTATTTCCAATTTTCCGTTTGCTGTTTCTGCAAGTTTTAGTTTATTTTTTTTAAACAGATGATGTACAGTATAACACTGCAGACAGATTTCGTATTTTATTTGTTTTTTGAAGAAGTAAAGATATTTTTATTGCTGCATCTTTCTCTCTTCCAAAGTTCACATATGTCTTCAGGTTTAAGGATGCCTTCCAATAAAAACAACAACGATACAAATCTTGTTTTTTTAATTGCTTTATTTTGCATAAATATGTAAAAAAATAAAAATGTTTAAATAAATAAATATCACATTGTTTAGAATAAATATGACATCATTATCAGATACTGACAGTGAAAGTTTCCTCTCTCGTCCGTGTAAAACAGGATTTTAAATAAGAATAAATAAATACAACATTTGCATTAGACGGAGGAATCATAGGTGGCTGAGCTGAGCCTTTGGTTCATGGCTTGCAGCAGACATTTGACGTACACATAATGCTTTGTGTCCTCCTCAAAGGGGGGTAGGCTGCAGGTCTCCATGGGTGGCTGGTTTTTCTGCAGGTACACTTCACGAGCAAGCTGGCAGATGCCCAGCAGGTGGTTTGAAAGCTCTCTCTGGGTCAGGTCAGACATCTTCAGCAGGTGGCAGGTGAAGGAGGAGAGGTGGTTGGCGGTGATGGTCTGCTGCCCGTACCCGACCAGCTCTGTGATCTGCTGGGACTCACAGGTGGTGCTGGGGACGTGTGGGGAAGAGTTCTGCAGGAGACAAAGCTCATCATTAGGATTCCAAAGTCTCATTTACTAAAGCATTGTTCTTTGTTTGTATTTAGGGGAATTCATATTTTATTTTCTCAGAATTTGTTTTCTTCTGCGTTTCATTTCTCTTTCATCGTGTCAAATTATTCGATTCCTACATTTAGCCTAAATTGCTGATTAACAACTGCACTTTCAAAAAAGAGGAGACGTATTAAACGTATTAAATGTAAACAGAATGATGATTTACTGAACTTAGAAACCCCATATTTTATTATAAAATAGCACAAAGACAAAATCTTGAATGTTAAAACTGAAAAAAATGTATTTATTTTGGAAAATTGTTTCTATTTTAATTTGATGTCGACAACTTGTTTCAAAAAATGTGAGATGTTGGCGACAGAAGGCATGAATAGTTGTGAAATGCTAAAAACTTGATGGAACATCTCGCAGATAATGAGGATAACTTTAATCAGGTTGTTCACATGATTGGGTATAAAAAGGTCATCCCAGAGAGGCTGAGTCTTCCTTAGAGCAAAGATGGGGAGTGGTTCACCTCTCTGTGAAATAGTGCAACACTTCAAGAATAATGTTTGCAAAGAATCTGATGATTTCTGATGCAACATGTGAAGATTCAGAGAATCTGAAGAAACCTCTGTAAGCAAAGGGGAAGGCCAAAAGCCTAGGGTGTGAACTAAAGGCCCTCAGACCACCATGCATCACAAACATATTCTGTGATGGACATCAATGCATGGGCAAAGAATCACTTCCAGAAACCATCGTCTGTGAGTTCAGTTCGTGTCTGCATTCACAAATACAAGTTGAAACTCCACCAAGAGGAAACCGTATAGAAACAGGATCCAGAAACATCTCTGCATGTTCTGGGCTCGAGGTTATTTAAGATGGAGGAGAAGAAGAAACTTGCCCTGTGGTCAAAATGTTAATTTCTGTGTGGCCAGGAGAGGGCACATCTAGCTATATAGAATGGAGGTGCATTAATGCATTGGATTGGTTCCCAACCTGCGGTCCTGATTTCTGACTCTATCCACTGTCCTGTTTCTAAATAAAAGCCCAAAAACTAAACTTTTAAAACATTAGATTTGAAAACTTTGACTAAAATCACGATGAAACACTTACTCAATACCAAACAGTGTTTGGTAAGAACAAGTGTGTGTCGACCTATTCTGTTGGGATTTGTCTATGAAAACTATTAAAATGGATGTTAATGATTATTTCACCAAGACATGTCGAAGCACGTTCTGGATGCGTTACTACAGCATGGCTCTGAAATACAAAATAGTCTGTGTGATGGTCTTCCTGCAGTCCTGACTTGTCACCCAGTAAAAATACTTTCAATGTGTGTAAAATGCAAAAGTAACATCTGGAGCATTATGAAACCTAAGGAGACCCTGAACTTGTTGAACAGCTGAAATCCTAAATCAAACAAGAATTATGAAATATGCAACTTTCGACAGACACTAATTCACTTATGTCCTAAAGGGCTTGCAAAGTGTTGCGAAATTAAAATAACTGATAGTACAGAGTGATGAATATGATCCTGTCTGTCGCAACTTTATTTACAACATGAATCTGACATCAAATGAATGGGCATTTCTTTTCCCCAAAGCAAAAAGATTTCTCACTTTCGACATTTGACATGTTGTGTTTTTGCTGTTTCAATTAAAAACGGGATATCAGTGTTTTGCACATCATCATAACCTTTTTTTTGGAAACGGCCTCGTGCAGTATCCAGCCTCTTAGGATACAGAGCATCACTTTTTGAAGCTGCGTGCGTCAGTAGGAATTGTCTCCCACCTGAACACACTATGTCATTACGGTAGAGCTGTCGTTTTAAAGCATCAGCTATGATGATCAAAATAACGCATTCTGAACAGTTTTGAACTTTAAGGATATTTGTAGCCAATCTTCCTATCGGTTGCTCTTTCCCTTTTTTATATCCAGATCTCATTCAAAACTTTACATGCAATAAAACATTTTCTGTGCAACTATTTAAAACAAGTCTGGAGCCTGGATGTTCTTCCATCAAGGAAGGTAGTACTCGATGTAAAACCTTCTGTATGAATAGCCATACACCCTGGACATAATCTCCTATGATAAACAAGAAAGCAGTGAAATCAATGCTTACGAGTTGTTGCAGAGTGTTTAGGATGAGATCCTTCATTATCTGGAGAGTGTCGCTCACGGCCTCGGCGTCTCTTGCTTCTCTCACAGGTCCACAGGCTGCTTGTGCAATGAGCAGGTACATGAAGAAGAGCACTGAAAGAGTGACAAGGAGATAAGGAAAAGGTTTGAATACACACAGGCATAGAGAGAGAGAGAGAGAGAGAGAGTCACCACAGAGAGTTTGAAAGTTGTGCAACGTTACCCGCAGAAGTTTCAGTTCTGCCTGCTTCAAGAATAAAAAAACAGCTGCACTCTCTTACCTGTATTACGGTAATCCATCACGGCAGCGGGTTTTGGTCAGTCAGCAACAGGTTTATTCTAATGTGACACTTTCCCCTCCATGTTTCGAGGATCATATTTATAAGGACTCCTGGGATTAATAATTTCTATGACGTCATAAAAGACGTACGGCAGAAAAGGTATCCAGGATTAATTTTGAATTGATTGGGGGTTTCCTTAGGAATCCCTTCCTCCTCCTCTTCCTCCGAAATATCGCGTGGGAGTTTATCAAAAGTCTGATTACATCTTTGTAAGCCAAAATGTGTAAAAAAAAAAAAAAAATATATATATATAAAAAAAAAAAAATGAAAAGGGGTTTATGCTTCACATGTTCGGAATGGGTTTATCTTTTATTTTTAATACGAACAATACCTAAGTAAAACAAAATTAAATAAAAAATCATTATCTTTTGTGATTTATAAAAACAAATATGCAGCCTATGTTTGTATTTGAGTACAGGCTTCAGTTTAAGCCTATATCATAATGCAGACATTTCTGTTCTGACAGGGTCGGACTCAAGTTTCGTTCAGTGCCAATAATGTTTAAGGTTTGCCATTATTTTATGAGGTGCCGATTGTAAAAACGTTGTTTTATATATATATATATATATTAGATATATTTTTAATATTTAGTTAATATCCTTCACATTTAGCTCGTTTTACACATAAATAATTGCAAAGATTTAGATATAACATTTAGATTTAACATTTAGATTTAGATTTAATATTTAGATTTTACATTTAGATTTTACATTTAGATTTATTATTAAATATTTCTTCAACACTTAAACTTTGCAATTATTAATGTGTAAAACGAGCTAAATGTGAAGGATATTAACTAAATATTGAAAATATATCTAATATATATATATATAACAACGTTTTTACAATCGGCACCCCATATTATTTGTCCAGTTTGTTTTTTAAATTATTATTATTGTCATGTTTGGTAACTGAGTAACACTGTTGGCATGCACCTGAGGTTACACGAGTAGGTAGGCAGGTATAGAGCACCATGTATGCACCGGGGTTGCATCAGGCCTACTTTTTAACAAGCAGAAACCTCCAGTGTTGAAAAATGAAGCCATCGCGGAAGTGCAAAAACCTTAAAAAAAACTAGCTAGGTCTTATTAGCTCATGTCTCGATTGGCACACACTGTACGTGGATGATTTATCTAATAAATTTATTTTATGAAGTGTTTTTCTCAACAAGGCGTGTCACAGCTCTCAGCCTGTTGTTAGGTTGACTTAAAGTTAGGGTGTGACAGCACGGAGCTCGACTCCCTGCAGTAACAGATGAGTTCTGTCACCCAGGCTTTGATCATCGATATTTACGGCCTATAGTTACAACCCAAAAAGGAAATAATTATTTATAAAAGATTTATTATGTATTCCAGCATCCAGTCAAAATGAAGCAGTACAGGGTATACGTCAATATAAATACAGTTATGACTATAAATACATGTAGAAAACGTTAAAGGCTTTATGTGATTTTTGATCCAGCAGATGTCGCCCTTGAGCACCAGCATGAAACCAAAACAACTTGCGCTGCATTGTTGTGTTAGCATGCTAATGCAAGTGATCTTTATTATGCAGGTATCTTCACACTGCATGTAAATTTACCTGAAATGAGCGTGATCTAGAAACACAGTTAAGCAGTGAGTACAGTATGTTATTCTTCTTTTCTCTAGTCCCTCAATTAAACAACTTTTATACACGAGGGGAGGAGTCAGCCAGCCGTCCTGGCGATGTAAACAAACTGAAGATAGGACTCTGAAAACTCTGAAAACATCACAGACAGTCATGACTCACAGAGTTATTTTCAGAGGATGTACTTGATTTATATTATATTTAAGTGTGAAAAAAATGAAGGACGCATCTCAAGCCTTTAAATATCATCAAAACAAACAAATAATAAAATAAAATAAATAAATAAATATACTACAGGGGCGGCTGTGCCTCAGTGGTCGTATCTTATCCGGAAGGTCTGTGGTTTGATCCCCAGCTCCTGCAGCCACATGT